AAAATGCGTCGCCTAGTCGCACTCTGCATACCCTACAGAAAAGTTCAACTTTCATGTTAAAAGCCATGCTAAATGCGCATATAACAGTTACTGTTAACTAGCTGCATTAACAGCAATGGCAAACCGATAAGCTAAGCAGACTGTTATGTTAAGTGCGCTGCACTTAAGCAGACATTCCAATTGGAATGCTGTTCAGCTGTGTCAGGTGTGCTGTTAAATTACAGGCATGCTGTTAAGAGAAACACCCTCCAATCCGAAAATTAGCATAGCTTGCCAATTGCAGCCTTAACATAGTCGCTCCAATTAGAATTTGATTTGCATAAATAGATAAATCTGTTGCCAACTCTGTTGCCTCCTCCAGCTGCAAAGAGCATGCAGAAAAGTAAAAAGTCAAACATAAAATGGAAACAAAACAAAAGGCGCAAAAAGTATTACAAATTCTGGGCAACAACTACGACGCTTTGTTATGCACATTAACATACGCACAAGCACACACACACACGCACACGCACACACACACACACATATACAGATGTACACGTACGGTACTATCGCTGTATTCGCTTTGATTTTGTGCGTGCATGTGGCTTTGCACGCACACATGTACATGTATATGCACGCACACACGTAAAGCTGTTTCGTTAAGACGCATTTTGCGCTAGATCAAAAGGGAAGAGGACACAACGAAATAGAAGCGATAACAAGAATATCTTAAAAGTTCAAGCACACGCAGCGAGCAAATACAGCAACAACAAAAAATAAGAAATAAAATAAAGTAAAAACAAATCGCATGGAAATCAATTAATAGAAAGGATAAAGCGTGCATTGAACTTTCGTTCGGCGAGAAAAAACATAAGACTGTTAACTGTTAAAACTTAAAGCTTAACTGTTAAAACTTACCGACACATGATAATGTATGTACATATGTATGTATGTTTCGTCAACTTTTTGTTCTGCTGCAGCAATGTTAAATTTGTATTGTTGTTGTTGTTGTTGGCGAGGTCAATGTTTCTGTTATTGTTGTTGTCGTTAAATTGAACACAAAAAAAAACCGCAACAAAAACAAAATTCGTTTCCTCATAGCAAACAAGCACAAACACTTTTTTTCGCATTTCATTATGTGTAAAACGTATTTGTAATTATAAAGCATTTTTACAATTGCCTTGACCTTAACACAATAAAATTAATTACGGCAATTACAACAACTAAACTGAAAAACTGGAAAGGCATAGCCATTTTAACAGCTCGTTATGCAATCGATCATGTTAAGTCTATGTGTGTGTGTGTATGTAGAACAGATTGCAGCTTACGGCCATGTTAAGTTAACAGAACAGCAATCAAGTAAACATAAATACATATGTATGTGTGCACATGTGTATGCATGTATTGCTTTTCTCTGCTAGTGGGCCGATGGGCGTGGCATGTGCATTTTAATGGCGGGCGTCTGCTATTAGCCCATTAATAAATAAATGGCAAAGCCAACATTTTACGCTCAATTTAAAATCAAATGGTTGACGGGCCGCGGGGCGGTCCTGAGGGCGGGATCAGTTGCAGTTGGCATACGAATTTAATGTTAAAACCAAATTAATAGCATATAACCATAACAAAATGTGCGTTTAAATGTGCCAAAGCAGCCGCACAAAATAATCAATTATGTTAAATTGCAATTGTCTGCAGCGAGCGGGCAGAGAAATAACAAAATTAACGTCAAATGTTAAACGGCTGCGCGCACGTTCAAGGCTACAGCCGCTGTTAACTGTGCAGCGCTGGCGCGCGCTGTTAGGTGGCATGCGACAGTTAGAATTTAGGTAGCCCCCCCCCCCTCGTTGAGATGAAACGGCTTGCGACCCTGACCAACAACAGTAGCAGATGCGCTGTTAGTTCCGCTTTTGGCTCGTTAAAAGTGGCGGGAATTCTAGCTTTTTTAGCTTTAATAAAAAAAGAGTTCTTTACTTTTCACTTTATCTTTAAGCAGATTTTGGGTTCTGCTTTTTTTCTAACCACACTTCACTGTAAAACTAGCTTTTTTTTTTTTCTTGCTTCTCAGCACTGAGCAGCAGCTGTGTGCGTGTTGTTCATTGAAAATCACACACACACACACACACGCGCGCGCGCATATCAGCCACTGTTACCATATGTAATTATTGGTACTGCGCGTTTTGCATGCAATTGAATGCGCATATGTCTGCGTGTGTGTGTAATTATGAAGGGCTAACAACAACAACGCCCACGCACAGAAAACTTGTTCATTGACAAATGCCGCTGCATTGCATCAAACACACGTAAACACACACACACACATATATATACACATGCACAAAGCAATTGCAAAAAGCCTTGATCTTGATCGCATGAACGTAACAGGCACACACACACACACACACACACATACACTTGTAGAACGACGGCCGCCAACAACAGCAAAGGCAGCGACGTCGACACCAACTCGATTGCCATTGCAATGGGAATGGGGCTGACTGTTGTTGTAGTTGTTGTAATTGTTGTTGCTATTATTTATTGCACTTGATTTGATTTGATTTGATTCGATTTACAGCCAAGACTAGTTTTTCTTTATTGTGTTTGCCAACCTTGTCTTTGCCCGTTTTTGACGACGCGTCGACGTCGAGGGCGACTGCGACTGCGCCGGCGCCTCGCACTTGCACTTGCTCTTCACACTTGCGTTTAATTAATACAAAAACTCTTCACTATATTTACAATGGCCGCGTTGGCGTTCACTTAATGCATTTTATTGAATTGTAATTTGTTCAAATGTGTAAATTAAACAAATTTTATTATTTTTATGGGCGCACTGCAAAGCTGCGTATTTGCCTTTGCTTCTTACTTTTTCTCGAATGGAAAGATGGCGAGAACAACACATATACACATGTATGCACATACATACATTTGCAGGTGCGTGTGTGTGTAGGTGGCAAAGCGTAGGCAAATTTTTTCAACGCACTGGCAACTCTTTGCAATTACAGTTATGCGTTTGTTTTCTTATGAAATCCAAATGAAGAGAAAACAAAATATAGAGCAGGCACACACACACACACACATGCACACTCAAGTGACAAAATTGTAGCGAACAGAAGTACAGTGGACGCTCGCAAATAAAACCCTTCCGATTGGTGTCTTATTGCTTAAATGTTTTATATCAAAACATGGCATTTAGTTATTGCGAAAAATATAATTATAATATGTAAAAATATGAATTATGTAATTAATGCAATCAATGCCAAACGTTTCACAATACGCAAGCAATTGAAAGTGCCGCTGCAAATTCTTGAAGCTCACAATTTCGAGCGTTCACTGTAATAGGATGATCTTAGCGACAGAATGGGTTTTTGTTGTTGTTGTTGTTGTTGTTCGGTTTTCGTGCATTTCTTGTGCGCGAACATGTAAAGGAGAAAGAAGGAGATGCGCTTACAGTTAGCAAACGATCGTCGTGGCGATTGCACGGTTAATTCTTGTCGCTTGTCTTTCGATATTGATTTCGGTTTCGATTTCGTTGTTATTTAATTATTTAAGTCTCGTTTTTTTTCCCCCTTTTCGCTCGGTTTCGGGCAACTGCCGTTGCACGTTTATAACGTAACGAATGTAAAACTCATGATGCGCATGCAGCACTAATACATACATACATACATACATGAATATGCATACATGCATATATGCTTATAGATACACATATAATCATACATTTCTTATGCGCATTTGACTAATTACGTTTTTTTTTTTATATTATTTTGTTACTTGCAGAAAATACCAGCTGTTTAACGCCAGCAGAATTGTTGCAGCGTTTAAGCTGCAACAGCAGCAACAGCTCCACAGCAGAAACCTCCACCACCACCAACAACAACATTAACAGAACACCGACGCCCACAGCCGCACCCACACTCCCCGCAACAGCTACAAAAGACTGCGACGAGAATTCGTTAACAGTAGAGGAAGAGGAGGCAGAAGCAACAACAACAACAACAACAAGAACAAGAACAAGAACAAGCAGCATACCAAAAGAAAACGAACACAGCCCAAAGCAGCAGCCACCGCCGTCGCCAGCGACTGCGCCGCACGCCAACAGCGACGCCGAAGAGCAAGCTGACGCTGACGCCGACGCCGACGCTGACGTTGACGTTGGCCTTGAGGCGCCAAAGCCGCGTTATTACGGCGCAGGCGTTGTTCTAACGCAGGCGCAGCGCAAGGAATATCCGCTCGAGCGCAACATCAAAGATAAGACGCAACACGTTGACGTAGACGTTAACGTCGACAGCGGCAGCAACAACGAGAGCAGCAGCAGCAGCAGCAGCAGCAGCGACGACGACGACGACGATTCCGACGACGGCTGCAAATTGATTGTCGACGAAAAACCGGTGCTGCCCGTCGATCAGCCGTTGTCGCTGCGCATGCGCAGCACACCGCCCAGCGCCGAGCAGAGACCGAGTCCGCCGCCGCCGCGTGTACCCGCCGTACGCTGCAGCGTTATACAGCGCGCACCGCAGGCGCCCGCACAGGAGCAGCAGCGCGAGAGCAGCGAACTGTTATACCAGCAACAGCTGCAGCAGCAGCAACAGCAGCGTGAACGCCAACTGTTATACCAGCGCACACTCGACCTCGAACAGCTGGGCCCAGAGCAACAGGAGCCGATCGATTATCACGTGCCGAAGCGACGCAGCGCCAGCTACGACAGCGACGAGGAGCTCAACGCACGACGCCTGCAGCGCGAGCGACGCGTGCGCGAGGCGCGTCGACGCAGCAGCTATTTGGCAGCGCGCGTGCTGCAGCTTAATCCGCGCCTGGTGCGCAGTCTGCCCGGCATTTTGGCAGCGGCCGCTGGTCACGGACGCAGCAGCAGCAGCAATTCCGGCCAGGGCTTTCAGACGGGCAACAGTTTCGGTGGCGGCGGCGGCGGCAATCAGAACGCCGGCAGCGCTGGTACGCACGGCGGCAGCGGCGGCGGCAGCAGCAGCGGCAGCGGCGGCGGCAACAGCAGCTTTGGCAGCGGCGCCGGCGGCGGTGGCATGGGCGGCGGCCGTGACGGACGCGGCAATTACGGACCAAATTCACCGCCCAGCGGCGCACTGCCGCCCTTCTACGAGAGCCTCAAGAGCGGCCAGACCGGCGACGCTCAAGCGACCACGCCCACAACGGGCGCACATCACGGCCAGCTGTTGCACAGCAATTCGCAGTTTCTCATACAGAACGCAGCGGCAGCGGCATATCTAATGTCCGGACAGCAATATAACTGTAACGGTTCAGTAGGTGGGGGAGGAGTGCTTAACGGAGGAGTTGGAGGCGGAGTGGGTGGCGGAGTGGGAGGAGGAGTTGGTGGTGGATCTGCTGTTGGCCTCGACGGTAATAACATATTGAACTTTGCCAATAATCTGGGGCACAGCAATTATAATGATATCAATTCCAATTCCAATTCCAATTCCAAATTCCATAATTTACATTCGAACGGAACAACTGTGGGTCATCCCTTCTATGGCGGCAATCCCTCAGCCTATGGCATCATCTTGAAAGATGAGCCCGATATTGAGTATGATGAGGCCAAGATCGATATTGGCACATTTGCCCAGAATATTATTCAGGCAACGATGGGTCATGTTGGCGGCGGCGTTGGCAGCGCTGCTGCTGTTGCAGCTGCTGCTGCTGCTGCTGGCGGCGTCGGCAGCGGCGGCGGTGGCAGCGGCAATGGCAGCACGTTCTCTGCCAGCGCCTATGAGGACGCAATCATGTCCGATCTGGCTGCCAGCAGCGCAGCGCAGTGCCCGAATGGCGCCGGCGGCGTCGGCGTCGATCCTCTACAGTTTACGGCAACATTAATGCTCAGCTCCCAGACGGATCATCTGCTGGAACAGCTGTCGGACGCCGTGGATCTCAGTTCGTTTCTGCAGCGCAGCTGCGTCGACGTCGACGACGAGGACGAGCACTCGACGAACAATAACAGTCCGGCACATCAGCGGCAGGACTTTGAGCTGGTGTCGACGCCGTCGCTGACGCCGGACTCGGACGCGGTGTCGGTGACGCCGCATGCGGCAGCGCAGCTGGATGCGCTGCACGAGAATCTGTTGACGCAGCTGACCAACAACATGACGCGCAGCAGCAGCAACAGCAGCAACAACAACAACAACAACATTGTTTATGGCACGACGCAGCAACATGTTGCCAATGCACAGCAGCATCTGCAGCAACATGTTGTCAATGCGCAGCAGCAGCAACAGCAACAGCAGCAGCAACACTTGCAGCAGCCGCCGCCCTCGTATCAGCACGCCACGCGCAATCTGCTGCAAATGCAACACAACAACAACAGCAACAACAACAGCAACAACAACAACAGCTACCATCAGCAGCAGCTGGCACAGCAGCAACAGCAATTGCTGCAGCAGCAACATCACACGCATCATCAACAGCAACAACAACAACAGCAGCAACAGCAGCAGCAACATTTCCATCAGCAACATAATATCTATGCACAGCAGCAACATCATGCACAGCAACAGCAGCAACATCATTTCCATCAGCAACAGCAACATCATGCGCATCACGCGCAGCATCATGCACAACAGCAACACCAACAACATCAGCAGCAACACCAACAGCAGCAGCAGCAGCAACACCAACAGCACCAGCAGCAACATCATCATCACAACGACAACAGCAACTTGTCGCTGCCATCGCCAACAACAGCTGCTGCTGCCGCTGCCGCAGCGGCCGCCGCTGTCGCCGCCTTGCGACCCATGAGCAGCAGCAGCAGCAGCAGCTCAAATCTGCTCGATGCGAACACAGCAGCGGCTGCTGCTGCCGCCCTGCTCGACACGAAGCCGCTGATACAAAGCGTAAGTGCCCCAAATATACTAAAGCCCATCAAATGCAGCGGCGAGCCGCCAGCCGAGCTGGTGGACACAGCGCCGCTCAGCTACCTGCTGCTCAACAGCAGCAACAGTCACAACAGCAGCAGCAACAGTTACAACAATTGCAACAGCAACAACAGCAGCAATTGTAGCCACATTAACAGCAATAGCAAGCATAACATTAACAGCAGCTGCAATCATAACATTAACAGCAGCAACAGCAACAACAGCAGCAACAACAACAACAACAACAACAAGAACAGCAGCGGCAACGGCAACGGCACAAAGCTGGGCGGACGCGCCAAGGCCAAGGCCTATGGCTCCACTGTGGTCACATTTGTCTCGACGGTGAAGCCATCGCCGGAGGTGCCCGCCCAGCGACACGTACATCGCACCACGTTGCGCTCGCTGGCCTGTGCGGCGGCTGCGACGGCAGCGGGCCTGTTGCCCCCATCTCCGACCATTTCGGTGCTCAATGAGAGCAAAATGCTACAGCGGCGGGTAAGGGCCGGTGCCCTAAGTGTCTCTGTGTGTGTGTGTCCCTCTCTCCCTCAACTTCTCTCCCTTTCCCTCGCTCTCAGTCTTTGTCTCTTACCACGCCCGCTCGCTCCCGCTACGTGTCTTGTGTTGTCCTCTGCCCGTTCAGACTTTTGCATTTGACTATTCTCTGCACTTTGTCACGTTAGACAACACTGTATCCCTTCAAGAAAAGAAAAGCAATTGAAATTCCACCCGCAGCTGTGAAAAAGTCGTGGAAAATGTTGATGTAAAACAAAACTTTTTAGTCACACGGCGATCGCCTGCAAATGGAATTTTAAAGAATTTTCTGAGTAATAATTTGTGATGCCTTTCACACGTTTCGCAAAATCCACTTCAAATATTTCCCAAATTTCACGGAAAAGTGTGCAAAGTCTCAGAATCGAATTTGATTTAAAATTCACTTGTGATGTGTTTCGAGCTTTTCGCAAAATCCACTTCTTCTGGTAGAAAAACGTAAAGATTTGGCCTGTAATTCATTTACAAATATTTCAATCAAATTTCACTTGAGACACATTTACACACTTTTCGCACAATCCACGCCTTCGCGTGGAAAAGTTCGGATCAAAATTTGCTACTTCCGATTGACTTTAGAACAATATATTCAAAGCTCTTCAGAAAAGCTCAATGAAAAATGTGCTTAAGTGATTTGGGCAATTCCACTCGCAGCTGTGGAAAATGCTCGGAAATGCTAGCCTGAACGTTTTTATGGACATATTTTCATAAAGATCTCTTTGAACATTTTTGTTAAGTAACATTGCAATAACTTTTCAGGCCCCTCCCCTCCCCTCCGCCGTCCCCCCGTTTCCCCCTGTAACTCCCCTTTAAGGCCCAAAATGTTGTGAATTGTTATGTGTTCTGCTGTGTTGTTCCTTTTGCTCTGTTTTGTGCTGTCTTTTAATTGATATTTTTTGCGTCAACCTTTACTCAATTTGATACCGACTTTTGACTTTCATCCCTTTAGCTGGGCCTGCCGCCGGACTTGCAGCTGGAGTTCGTGAACGGGGGGCATGGCATCAAGAATCCGCTGGCCGTGGAGAATACGCACGGAGGCCATCATCACCACCGCATACGCAACATGGATTGCATCGATGATCTCAAGCATGGCCATCCGTCCCAGCAGCAGCAGCAGCAGCAGCAGCAACAGTTGCAACAGCAGCAGCAACAGTTGCAGCAGCACTCGCCGCAGCTGCAGCAACAGCATTCGCCGCAGCAACAGTCGCTGCAGCAGGCGCAACACTTGTCGCTCAGCCAGCAGCACAACGGAGGCGGCGGCAGCAACAGCTTGGCCAGCATTGGCAACAATCGCAACAGCAGCAGCAGCGTCAGCAGCAACAGCAGCAATCAAGGCGACTCGCTGTGCCCCAGCAACAACAGCGGCGCGGAGGACGCCAACAACAAGTTCGTCTGCCGCGTCTGCATGAAGACGTTCTCGCTGCAGCGTCTGCTCAATCGGCACATGAAGTGCCATTCGGACATCAAGCGCTATTTGTGCACATTCTGTGGCAAGGGCTTCAACGACACCTTCGATCTGAAGCGTCATACGCGCACACATACGGGCGTTCGCCCCTACAAGTGCAACCTGTGCGAGAAGAGCTTCACGCAGCGCTGCTCCCTCGAGTCGCATTGCCAGAAGGTGCACAGTGTACAGCATCAGTATGCCTACAAGGAGCGACGCGCCAAGGTGAGTCACGAGTAATTTCCCACGAACTAGTGAATCATCAGTGAAATTTCATGCGCACTGCAAGCTTTGTTCTGCACAGATGTCGATTGTAGATAAATTGATTTGAATATGAGCTAAAGTATATGCATTTTTAGAGGAACAGCGCTAGTTTGGAACCAGTTCCGGCATGGCTTGGAACTAGCTCAATACAAATTTCCAATTATTTACGTGTATAGAACCAGAATAGCACAAGTATTTCAAGACAAGTAAAAAAAGGAAAAAAGCCGGGACTAGTTCGTTTGAAAATACGTGCGGCAAGGCTGGGAAGTAGTTCATAAAATATTCACACTTATACAGGTGCAGAGAACCAGAAAACTTAATATTAATACATAGGAAAAAGTTAACTGATGTGATTCAGAAGTATTTCAGTTGAAACCAGTTCCGTCAAAGCTTTGAACTAGTTCATAAAATGTTCACAAATATTTATGTGTAATGAACCAAAAGAAATGAAAAGTTAAAATGATGTGAAGCACAGGTATTTCAGGACAAGAGAAACAAAGAAAAAAGCTTGGATAAGTTGGTTTGAAATCAGTTCCGTCAAAGCTTTGAACTAGTTCATAAAACGTTCACAAATATTCATGTTTAGAGAATCAAAAAAACAAATATATATAGGAATAGTTCGAATGTTGTGATTCACAAGTATTTAAGGACAAGAGAAACAAAGAAACAAGTTTGGATAAGTTCATTTGAAATCAGTTCCGTCAAAGCTTTGAACTAGTTCACAGATGTGTAAGGAACCAAAAGAAATGAAAAGTTCGAATGTTGTGATTCACAAGCAGTTCAGGTCAAATAAAGTAGAACTTTCAAAATGATCAGGCTCTGCTCTCCCAAAAAAAAGAGAATTGTGAATTAAATCGTTTCTTCTTCTTCATATGTAGATGTACGTGTGCGAGGAGTGCGGCCACACCACCTGCGAACCGGAGGTACACTATCTGCATCTGAAGGACAATCATCCGTTCTCGCCGGCCCTGCTGAAGTTCTACGACAAGCGCCACTTCAAGTTCACCAATTCGCAGTTTGCTAACAATTTGCTTGGCCAGCTGCCGATGCCGGTGCATAATTAAAACTGGAAACTAGCTATAGCAAAGCCTTAGATTAAGCCCAAACAAACTAACTAAACTAACTAAAACAAACAAACGAAAAGTAACTAACTGAATTAATGTAATGTTAATGCAAATTCAACTCTAAGCTGAAGTTTTATGAAAACTGCCCCCACGAAAATGGCGAGATTATGTTTTGTACATGTATAATCATATCGGATATCATACATATAGCTATATCACATACAGTTATATACATCTCCACACATATATATACATATATATATATATGCATTAATTTCTAGCTATTTAAGCGAAAAACGAGACACGAAAAACATTTTACATTTAGTTTAGCTCAAGAATTTCATGGCCCAAAACACGCTCTTAACACTTTGCTGTGCAAACTAAAAAGAAAATGGAAAACAACATTTCGAAATTTGATATTGAGAAAAGCAAAGAAAATGGTGGGGAAAAACGCGTTAGCTCCTGGGTTTTCTTTTTGCTGGGCAAGACCCAAAACCAATTTTATGCGCTTAGTCAAAGTTTTTTTTTTTTGCTTTTTTTTTTCGTATTGCCTGTTCGGAACCACTTTTTTTTTTTTTTAGTAGTTCTTTAAGCTAAGCTAAGTCTTAAAAATGCTTTAAGCAAAAAATGAATAAGAGGAAAAACAAATGAATTATCGATTTATAGTTTCTTGAAACAAAAACAAAAGCTCGTTAGCTAAATGAACAAGCTGCAAGAACCTTTGCATTTATTTACAACAAATTAGAAGAGGAAGAGGAAGAAGAAGAAGAGCTACTAACACTTAAGCTACAATTAAAATTCTACTGTATTTATTTAATTCGAATTTTTGAACAAACGCATCAAAATTCATTGTAAAGAGGCATAAAAAAAAACAAGAACAAAACAAAAAAAAACACAAAATGAAATGTAAGCAAATTGATTTAGTTAAGCAGCCTAATTAAGTTTAATTAATTGATTAACTAGAGAGTTATGCTAAATTATGCTGTTCATAAATGAAGTCAAAGCACACACAAAAAAACAAAACAAAACAAATTTATGTAATATATTTTAATTATTATGTATTTATAAGGCACACACACACACACACACACACGCACACACACATCTACTTGAATTTAGCTTAATTTCATTATAATTTTAACAATTTTCTTTTTTTTGTCATAATTATAATTTAAAGAGAGCTGAAGCAACCACCAATTTGTACTGAGAACATTAAAACAATAATAATAATATTATTATTAATAATAAGAATCATGATTATGTGGCAAAGCATTTAAGTTGAAATTTTCACACACACGCACACACACGTATATATATACGATATTTATATATATATAGTTCTTATCTGGGCCTTACTTTGTTTGTGAACAGCATTTTGTGCAGCTGCAGCAACATTATCTTAATTATTATTATTATTATTATCTTTTTTTTTGATTAATTTAAGTTATAGAAACACAAGTTTTCGCTTAGTTCTGCCCACACGCACACACACACACACACGCACACACAGTAAAATTATATAATTTTTTTTTTTGCATAGTTTTTTAAGCAACAACGGGTTATTTGTGCAATCGCTTGGTGTTGGTTTATAAAAAAAAGAAAAGAAAAGAAAACTTAACTTTAGTTCGTATTTAGGAACTTTGTAGCTGCTGCGCGCGCGCGCTGCGCCACGCCCCACGCCTGTGCGCAGCACACACACACACACACACACATCTCTCTCTATATATATAGAGGCATATATATTAGTTCGCTTCCAACTTTAGTTTCAACTCTCGTTAAGCTTTAAAACAAAAAACTCAACAACTGTAATTTAATGGCCTTAACTATATATATATATACAAGACACACACACTCACCCGCACACACACACACACACACACACACACATCATGTACTTCCCCTGAGCAAAAAATTGAGAAAATTGGAAATTTTTTTGAATTTTTACACGAATTTCTGAACTAAACCTTAACAAGAAAACAAAAAAAAAAAAAAACAAACTAAACAAAAATACAACAAAAAAAAGAAGAAAAGAAACACTTGAAAGTGTATTCAAAATTCGTGGTAGTCTATCGTAACAACATTGAATTAGTTTTAAGCAGCAACTTTTTTTTTTTTCTTAACATAACTATTATATGTATACTACATAAAGTTTATGAGAAGCAAATTATATAATAAATATTGAATATTACAAAATCAAATCGAGCAACTTTCTATCTTCGCCTCTCTCCGAAAACGTGTTTAACGTAGAATTCTTCGGGCGAATATCGCACGAGATTAGGGGTATTCCGCATAAAATATTGGCTTTGTTTTGCAAGAGTTATGTCAATTCGAAAGTATTTTGGTATATTTTTGAGTATATTTCTTCAGAATTCTTTTCTATTTTCGCCTCTCTCCGAAAACGTGTTTTACGTAGAATTCTTCAGGAGAATATCGCATGAGATTGGGGATATTCCGCATAAAATATGGGCTTAGTTTTGCAAGAGTTATGTCAATTGGAAAATTCGAAAGTATTTGGTATATTTTTGAGTATATTTCTTCAGAATTCTTCGATAGGTTCAGCCATGAAATTGAAGCTATTCCGCGCTCAAATCGGATGCATTTTGTTTTCGGAGTAAAATGTTATCGATAAGAAAAATTTTTATAATACAAATGTGCTGGCTTTTCGAACATTCGACTTTTGGCCTATAGGGAATTACCTGGTGTTTTGGGTATAAACTCCGAAATATATTTTTTTTTCTTTGCAAGAATTTCGTATAAAAGAATTGTGGAAATGTTGTCGACTGTATATTGGAAAAGTTATGACAATTCGTTAGTTTGATCTATGCCCATATTGTACATTTTGGTATTTTTAGTATATTTCGGAGTACAATTATGTGCTGTCTATTCGAAGGTATATACATAATTTCCAATAAAAAAAGTTCTTGAGTTCCAATGCACAATTGTGCCAGAGGGCGTAATGTGAAATAAGAACTATTCCGCAAAAAATCGGATGAATTTTGGTATTTTTGGCACATTTCGGAGTCAAATTTTTACATGAAAAATATGAAAATTTGATTACAAATTTAAATGCAGAGAAAATAAAAACAAAAGCTATTTCTTATAAAATTCAATTGGTATTATTATATGCATCGGATCGGAAAATCGGATGAGATTTGCCCGAGTTATGGGGTTGGGGAAATTTCGACCTAAGTCTGGTCTATATAGGATTTTCGAGGGAATAATGAGGAATAATGTTGCTAGATAAATATATCAAATTGATCTAGAGGCTTACCCATGAAGAAAGAGCCTAACTCGGGAAAATCGTGAAAACACCATTGACCGAGTTATTGGGATGGGAAATTTTGAACTATGTCTATATAGGATAATAGTCGGCATACCCCGGCCTTGCTTGTGACTAGTTTATAGATATATATAAATTATAAAGATATTTTTGTGGAGGAAAAACCTGGTAGTGAAAGTTAGTCCGCATAAAATTCCTATAGGGATACTTTTGGAGTATTTTTGTCAGATCTATTATTCGTAGGCATGGGCTTGAGAATCGCAATGCACGAAGTTTAAGGAAATCGAAATCCTGAAAATGAAAAAAAAAATAAAATGAAGTATTAGTAATTTAATTCTTTTCTTAATAAATGTTTGATCCTCGATGCCGAGTACATTATTCATAAAATAATTGTATTGAACAGAATTTGCGAAACCAAAGATTGGGCTCGTCAGAATGGAAACCCAGCATCAAACGAGAAAGTTGGATTATATCTACGGCACGCCGAAGATTTAATACCCTTCTAGACAATAGTTTTGACATTTATGGATGACATGTGGAAGAAGTCCCTTGAGAACTATTCAAAAGCATAGTTCGTGGTTCATAGTTCATAGTTCATGGTTCATGGTTCATGGTTCATAGTTCATAGTTCATAGTTCATAGTTCATGGTTCATAGTTCATGGTTCATACTTTATGGTTCACAAATTCATAGTTCATAGTTCATGGTTCATGGTTCATGGTTCATACTTTATAGTTCACAAGTTCATGTTTCATAGTTTATAGTTCATATATATATTTCATAAAGCTGTTAACCTATTGCAGAAGGCCGAACTTATCCAAAAAAGGGACTTTACTTAACAACAACATTCTCGTCTTGTACAAGGATCAGGCTGGCAAAGGAGCTTAAGTCTTTGATTAATAACAATCAGAATGTTAGGCCAAAGACAATATAAACTCTAGGTTGAATACATTTAAATGCGACGCAAATATTTCTAGCCTGGCTTTTCATCTGGCTTTTCCCGCTTCAAACGACTGGCTTTTCGCTCTCCAAAAGCCAGACGAACGACTGCCGAAGACGAAGGTTCACATGGGCTCCCCTTAGATCTGTCTTCTCCTTGGCTCTCCTTGGGTTCTCCTTGCTTTCCTTGGGTTCCTTTTGATCTGGCAGGATTTACGTTTGGCTTATCTGGGTTCCCTTTGGTTTACCTGGATTCACATTTGTTCATTCGGGGTCCACTTTGAGCTAAGTTCACCTTGGTTCCCCTGGCTTCATCTGGTTACTGTGCGAAGGATCAAAATATTTATACAGTATGTGTTTCTTTTTTTTTTTGAAATGTTTTCACTTTATTTATTTCGCTAGTTTTCATTTTATGTTTTATGTTCAGTGTTTTCTTTGTTTGTATTTTGGGTTTTTGCAATTTTTTTTGTGAGTTTTTGTGTTTTTTCTTCGTCTTCTTCTTCTTCTTCATTTTGTTGCATCTTATTTTTTTTTTTGTTTTTTACTTGTTTTTGTTGTATTTTTACATTAATTACTGAAATACACACACAGACACGGAATTACACTAAGAACTAAAGTTTTTTGTTTCACATGAATTAATATAGATATTTATTTTTTGTTATTATCAAGAATTGTAATATATGTATTTGTTGTTGTTTTTTTTTATTTTTTATGTTTAGCAAGTGTTTTCTGCTGCTGCTTCTTCCTTTTAAGAGCTGTCTTTGATTAGTTAAACTAAACACTTGAAAGAATTCAACTATGAAACAAAATGTTTATAACTCAAATTATTTTTTTAAGAAATTTCTTTATGTTTTTTTTTTAAGTTTTTAAAATATTTTTGTTTTTGAGCAAATTGGGCCAATTGTTGTTGTTTTTT